TCGATGACGAGCCAAACCTTGATGAGTTCGAGTAATTTGTCACTTGAATGTTCAAATCCCCGCCCCAATGGGTCGCGACCTATGGCCAATTTACCGGATGGATCACTGGGATGCGGAGCGGGAATATGCTTCTCGAAATGCTTTTAAGGATTTCTGTCATCCTGATTTTTCTTTTTTTACGAACATGATCTGTTTATACGTCTCTTCATTTCTGCTTCCCATGTATCATACGGCAAGGCAGAAAAAGATATTGCTCAATTTGCCTCTGGGGACTTCCGGTCTATTGATAGGTCTCCTCCACCAAATCTAGTGAAGAATCTCGATATATGACCCAAAAGCCGACCATACCCAGCGAGAAAACTTACTTTCTTCGTGCTTACCATTGAATGAAAATAGATTTCAATCCTGCCGGTAGATTACCTCTTCCCTGATATATGTCGTCGTTACGAAAGTATGGCTAGGATCAAAGTTTCCGCAATCTGTAGACCTATTTTTGGACCTGAATTGGGCAGCAATAATTCTCATATCTCTTAATGATCATACTGGCCACCGCCATACCGCCACATGACTCAATATCATAGTATCATGAATATGTGGTATATTTAGTGGTGTGCTTTAAAATACAAACATTGTCCATATAGCGATTGCCATTGTCTATATTAGCTTGTATAATCACCTCACAGATTTGTGGAGGAAGAAGGACCGCAACCTAACTTCTTTTCTCGTCAGTCTTAATCCAGATTTTGCAATTTTAAGACAGAAAGCTACTATTATAACACAATGCCTACCAGAGAAAGGAGACCACGTCTTGATGGCTGGGGTAAGTTCCCTTGGATTATCTTCTCTGAGTAATCGCTCATCGTCAGACATAGGGAGGTTCAAAGTAACGTTTATCACATTTGCATTATATGCTTTAGGATTTCCCATCTTGCTGTTTCATAGTAAGTTCTCTATACTCGCTATCAGAAGCATTCTAATGTGATTTTGCAGTTTTGCTACTTATCGGCTGTGCAACCGACTCACCCGGTATGGACAATATCTACGTTGCCTCACTCTCCGGCGGACTTAGATTCTCCTATACCTGTATAGCCACCCACTCGCACCCCTATTCTTACCACTGCTAACAATCACTAGCCCTCTGTGCCCCTACCACCACCGGCCGCATCTGTACCCCCTCTGTCGGAAAATCTCCCCTCATCCTCACCACCCTCTATAACTTCACTACTCCACACTCCACCCTCCAATACGCGCTCGATCTACAAACAAGCATATCCTTCGTCATCCCCGCGATGTCCGCTCTCCTCTTCCTCTTCGCACTCCTCGCCCTTTTTTTCGCCCGTGGAATCATCAAAAGAAACGGAAACAATTCTCCCTCCCACATCTTCACCATCACACTCCTCTTCTGGTCCTCCGCTGCTGTAGCTTTTGCCGCTGCCTACTCGCTCACCTCATCCGGTGCAGCATTAGCTATCCATTCTCCATCATCCCTTTCCGTCTCAAACTCAAGCGGAGAAAATACAGAGATGAATATCGAGCCCGGAAAAGTAATGTTAGCACTGCAATGGATAACGTGGATTTTCAGCACCGTAGCCGCGATGATGAGCGGGAGTATTACAAAGACGTTCTTGAATGGGTCGTCGTCGGAGAGGAGGAGGAGGAATAGTAGAAGTGGGAGTCCGTATGCCAGAGGGCCGAGTATGAGGAGGGCTAATAGATCTTTAGTTCCTCCGTATAGTAGAGATCCTTTGCCGAGGTCAGGAAGTCCGGTTTCGCCTATTTGAGGGGGCGTGAGGGAGTAGCTTTCGAGATTGTTAAGATTGAGTTTTAGCATGGGACGGGATGGAATGATAGTCTGTGGTTGGTTAATTCTTCTTCAAATATGGTTATTGTTATGCGCGACCTAATCATTGTAGCTATAGAAGTGTTTCGTTGGTATTATTTACTGGATCATTGAAGATTAGAAATTCAGCAGCAATACATGAACATCATAGTTGCAACAGTACAGATTGATTTAAATCAGTGACTACTATAATCAAAACAGAAAAAAACAATAAACACACAAGCTTTCAAAAAAACAAACAGCCATTCCACCGTCCTCACTCGTTCTTGGATCCATTTTTCGTCACCTACTTCCAAGGCTTTTTCTTTATACTCCCAGTCTTCGGCTTCAAAGGATCAAGCTGTCCCCCTCCTCTGCCCCTGCGACTCGATCTCGACCTTCCCAAGAAATTTTTACCCCCCGCCTCCTCCGTCACCCTATCAGTCAATTTGTTCTTCCCCGGAACCCAATAATCATTCACCGTAACCTCCAACACCGCATTCGGCTCTCTTCCCTGTTCCAAATCAATCTTGGCCCGAATCTGTTTAATCCCCAACTCCGGATCCTGTGTAAAATTCAAATAGGCCAGCGTTCCCAACGTCTGATCCAAATGATCTACTTCCCCATCCACGAATTGCGTCGCCCCGACCGCATCAACCTGTGTCCATTCTTGCACGATAGGTTTGCAGTTTTTGGGAAGCATAATGCGCATGGGACTGCGGTACCAGAGAGGGAAATAGATGAATCCAAGCATGATTCTATTTTGATCCGACAGATTGGGCATACCGGCGTGCCAGAGACGGAGATCACGAATGGCGATGGAACCTTTAGGCATAGTGGGTTGGAAGGGAGGAGAATGCTCTGCGCGACGATTGAATGCTGATGCTTTTACCCAGCCTCGACCATGGTCTACTAGATTTTTCAAATCGTATTCGTGGTGAGAGCCGGGCCAGATCTCGGTGGAGCCGTTTGTGGGCGATACATCGTGGAGGTACATGAAAAGTTCGATACAGGTGGGAAATGGGTGATGATCATAGTAAGAATCGACATGTACGGCTTGACGAGACTTTGGATCTGCAGCTGGGAGGTTGATATTACTTCCTGCATATGCTAGTTGTGGTTTCCCAAATACACCCTCCATTACTGCAGAAGCATGTTTGTTGGCCCATATGTCTTCGGCAAGCCACTCTTTGGATAAAGGAGGACATATGGAGAAATTTGTTTTCTCGTTGCCATGATTGAAAAACACTTTCGGATCTTCCAACCTTTTGGCACCATCGGCATTCATCTTCTCGTAGAACTTATCGAGAATATCATGGGGAATGGCATTCTCAAATATGACAATTCCATTTGTATGAAATTCTTCTACTCCAGCTTGTATGTTTTCCAAACTGGTAGTTCCAGATGCGAGTTCTTCGTCAGACAAGATGACATGTTTGCAAGGAGCTCTTTTTGGGGGCATATTGAAGTATTTGGGACGTTTTGAGTGATTACAAAGTGAAGTATGTATAATCGAAATAATAACAAATCAATGATGTTATATTCACCCCATTGCGGAACTTTATATAGTTACTCGGGACTTGAGCATCGAACAAGGAAGCCTAAACTTCAAAGAACATGCATAGCACAACAGCGAAAAATAATGGCCCTAGGCCTCGCTATTTCATTCAAAGATTGAAGCGATATCATGCCAACAAAGAAAGCAGGACTCATGAGTGGAGAAAATATCTGATTTCGAATAGGGCCAGAAAGGAGACAAAGATACCGGAGAGTTACTGGTACCAAGCACTTGCCGACTTCTTTTGAGGGAATATGAGACGGTTCTCACAAGTGTCTTGTGAGCGTCGAAGCAATCGCAATAGTAAAGAATTTGTAAAGAAACCTGCAATATACACTGTCTTACATTCTTTCGAAATATATGAAGCTTGAGACCTCTCTTTTGTTATCTTCGAACAATTAAGTGATGCATCTAGACTGCCTCAGCATATACACACAAGTAACTTGGAATCTCAGATCAAAAAGAAGAAGAAGACAGAAGGCATCAATCCTGACTGAAAGGTTGATAGTCCCATTAGATATTTTAAAATGCCAAATCTCGACGAAGATAGTTAGCCTTTGCTTTGTGTGAGTCTTTCCATTGCCATTGCACCAAATCTACGCCTTGAGAAACAAAGCCAAAAAATATTTGTCTGCTGCGAAACAGATATACGAGAAAGATATGAGATAATGCAAAAATGAAAATGTTTCAACCCATTTTAATGCCACATATGAATAGCATAAGCACATAAATCCTATTAGAAAAATGGTAACCCTCGAGTAAAAGCAAGGTACAGTTAAAATCCGCAGGAGAAAAAGATTAAACCCCCACCTCAATTACTACACCCATTTTTTGAACAGAATATATTTTTAAAACTCAACTGCTCACCAACAATCATCGGCCGGATGGTGTAGTTGGTTATCACGTGTCCTTAACAATTCAAACCTGTTAAATACGGACAAGGTCCTGGGATCGTGCCCCAGTCTGGTCATTAATTTTGCTTCTTCATTCTCTCTTTCTCATGGCCTCCTCCCCAAATGGTTGGTTGGTTGTTGCGACGGAAAGATCTCTTTTTGTTTTTATGCGGGCGCGAATTGCAAAGAAAGTCAGTCGGGCGGCGGACAAGCGGAGAAGCGGAGTGGGCTACCTCCATACATGGCCGAAAAAAGTGGCACACTCTATCTATTTATCAATCACTCATTTGTCATTATTAGTAGACAGAGCATCAGCAACAAATATAATAAATGACCACAATCAATGAATATAATTCTTGGAAATAAGAATGAACCGAAAAATTTCGAATATCTCATGACAGCTTTCATTCAGTCTTTTTCTTTTCTTAATATCGAAGGAATATTGAAAAAAGAGCACTTCACACACATATCTAGCCAAGTATTTTGAACAACCCGTTCAATCTGTGTTCATATGAAAGGGAGATGATGTAAAAAAATATACAAAGATTTATACGGTTCACGATCACTGGTCAAACAGACATGGAAAATTGTAAGGGGAATTCATCAACTTTGGATAAGGAATGAATGTAATTGTATACTAGATATGCTTCTTTCTTTCAATTTCTAAGCAAATAGATGCGATGCTCGAGAACCTACCAGATCAATATAAATATCAATAGCTTGATTGAACTCAGCAATAATTGTTGGTCTGCAACCATTCAAGGATAACCTCCCTGTCTCTTGATTTGAGAGCTGCTCTTCCTTTGATAGTATCACCAATAATTGCTAGTGATCGATCATATCCTCTATTGTCTTTATTTTCAAAGAACTTCTCAATTTCTTTGTTGACATTATCATCACTAAACGTTGATAGAGAAAGTTTAATGAATCGATCGAAGACAACCATATTAGCAGATCTGTCAAAAGTATTAGTGATGTTACTAAATAGAGAAGCTATTCAGTGTGCCATTGAGTACTCACAATCTTTCTTTGACTGGATCAAAGTTGTCTTGGATGTATTGCCAAAGCTGGTAACGTGTTTTGGTATTGGCTGCAAGAGCAGATGCACCTGTGTGTACATCTTGCGTTGCGACCTCCTTGAAAAGGAATTCAAAATAATCGGAAATGAGTTCTGGGGTTTGAACACGTCCCATTGCACGGAGAACAATTTCTTTGCCATCAATGGAAGTTGTTTCGCGGTACTCTTTCTTTAAAGCCTCATATTCTGATTTATCACCATATCGAACGGAAAGACCATAAATGGCACTTCTAAGACTTGGATGAATAACAGTCTTGTCCTTGCCGCTTGTGTATAGATCGAAGCGACGTTTAGCTTCGGTGATAATCCTGTGTTTTGTCAGTCATGAAATACTCAGGCAATAAATCCTTCTGAACTTACTCTTTGTGTCCGTTAAGCCCAGCACTCAATATTAATTGAGGTCTAAGTTGAGACTTAAGGAAATCTTCATCTGCAGGCTGTTCCCAACCTATCTTTTCCACTGCCGGGGAGACCAGTTTCAGCAAGAATGCTTTCAAGCCATTGGAAACTGCATCATCGTCGGAAAACACCGATTTGATAGTACCAATTGGTCCTAGGATCTTTGACCAAACAAAGTGATTCGATTCATTGGCTAAGCCTTGCACTAAAGACAAGAACGCTGGAGTTCCTGCTTGTCCTGAAATTGCGAGTGAACCCGCATCGGCGATTAGACCTAGGAGAGATTTAGTTATCAGAATGAGATGACGAAGCATATTGCACTATAATAGTCCAGACTACAATCCGAATCCGAAAGCTTCGAACGTCCGAATGCAGTTTGATCATTCGAACAGATTCAATCCTGAGCGAAATCCATATACCAGTTCATCGAGTAACCGAGCGTATTAAGAGATCAATTAGACGCGATGGTATCTCACTGTTGGACTGAACTGCAGTCTGGACTATAAGATAATCAAAATCTTGATCTAGACTCACCAATCTTGTCAGTCAAGCTGAGGCGATCCAATTGTGAACCCAACTTGGCAAGTCTTGACGGTGGATAATTGACTCGATAAAAGCCTGCAGTATCGGTATTAATCTTGTAGAAAGAATCATCGACATCTCGGACTACGTCTTCTTTTTGTTCAAACGCGATTTGCTGTGCTCCCTTGGCTCCTACCTTTCCTTGGAAATCCAAAGGCACCCACCAAGTTGTTTCATCATCTTCGGGTTTTACGTCTCCAGTTGAAAGGTAACGACTTTGCGTGATGCTAATTTGACCAGGCTCTTCTTGAACCGTGAGAACAGGATAGCCAATCTTGGTGATCCATGGATCAATGATAGCCTTCACGTCTAGACCAGAAGCTTCGCTCAAAGCTGACCACAAATTTTGTGTTGTAGCATTACCATAAGCATGTGCTTTTAAATAATCCGAAACACCCTTCAAGAAAGTCTTTTGGCCAAGATGCGTGGCTAGCATTCGAATTACCGAGCTACCTTTGAGGTAGCTGATGTGGTCGAAAATTTGGTCAACATCCAAGGCATCTTTGACAGGTACTTCAATAGGGTGCGAGCTGCGTAGGGAGTCCAACTGAAATGCAGTTTGCATGCCCTCAGCCACGAACTGATCCCATACACACCAATCAGGATGGAAGTGATCTGTTGCCAACCACCCGACCCAGGTAGCAAAACCTTCGTTAAGCCAAAGTTCACTCCACCAGTCCATGGTGACCAGATTACCAAACCATTGATGGGCAAGTTCGTGCGCAACGACATAGGCAATCCTGTTTTTGTATTTTGTATCAGAAGTCTTCTCGTCAAACAAGACAGCTGTTGTGCGATAGGTAACCTGTACCAGTGAGTAAATATTTCAATCACATACAAGGATGTTAAAACTAACCAGACCCCAATTCTCCATACTATCCGATAATTTGAAAAGTTAGCTAGCGTACTCATAAAACAGGAGGGGTGGGAAAACTAAGAGGCCTATCATACGCTCCATGGGACTAGAATGAATGGTTAGTGAAAGGGTCGATAGTAATTGGACCTAGAGGCCGTTGTAGATGGAAAGACATTTTGAGACTCACAAATTCATGTACCGCGAGCAAATCGGCTTTAGGAAGTGGATAATCAATATCAAAGATTTCAGAAAACAAATCGATGACTTTGGGTGCATGATCGAGAGCATATTGTGCTTGACTCTTTAATCCTCTGGTAGTATAGACACGGACAGGCAGTGGCTTTCCGTTATACTTGCGCTTTGTGAAGTCCTCGATGTACTCGAAATCTCCCATGGCCCAAGCTAGGAGATAGGTACTCATGATTGGTGTCCTTTCGAATTCAACGAAGTGAAATCCGTCCTTAGAATTTCTTGAGCCTTTCTCAGGCATATTGCTCAAAGCAATTTGGTCCTTGGGAATTTCGATCTCGAAGTCAAAAGTGGCCTTCAAGTTAGGCTCATCAAAACATGGGAAAGCCCTACGAGCATCAGATGACTCAAATTGAGTGCTATACATGCAATGGAACTCATCAACCTTAGGAACAGATGCGGCTGGGGTGACTTGAGGTTTGTATTTTGAATAATAAAAGCCAGCCATGTCATTGTTGACAGTTCCTTGAAATTTGATTGCTAGGATGGCATTTTCAGAGACAGGAAGCTCGTCCGGGAAACTTAAAGTTACACGTTGTTTCTTGGTATCATAAGATATCTCACTGGACTTGATAGACTGAGAAGTCTTCCCGGAAGTGAAAGAAACCTCTACTTCATGTAACTTGAGCTGAAAAGCATTCAAAGTGATTTCCTTGGTTGGCTTGTCGACTTTGATATCGATTTTGACTGTTCCTTGATAGCTAAAAGCTCCTCCTAATTCGATATCGTAGATAGAGAGCGCATAGTGAGAAGGCTTGACCGAATCTGGAAGCACATCTCGGTCGGATGCTGAAGAAGCCATGATGTGAATGGTTCAACGACTGTGGTGAGATCTAGTACTAGATATCAAGAAGCGGTCAAACCAGTTGACGGTGAATCGGACTTCGTAGTTTGGGAATGTTCTTTAATGGTTGGGTGGACTTTGATTGGAGTTCTAGTATTTAAAGAAGAAAGAATTGGGAAGAAGGCCGAAGGAAAGCGTGGATAAAAGCACGGAGTTCAAGTACGGAGTAAATCAGAAGTAACTATGGAGATTTAGTCCGTTTGTCATAGGTGCTAAGGTTGGCAGGTGCGGGAAGGGACGATACCGCCCACTTGCCTAATTGGGTAGCTTATCCGATGAAAGCTTGAAATCTCAACCAATAAGCGGTGACGCATGACAAGGCTGTAGAAACTCAAACATCACATCACAACACGCGAAAAGAGCATCATAGTGTTTCCTATGTACACGACCAAACTTAGCAACACAATCTTTTCGCAAGCATTCTTCTTCATACGAATCACATCTGCCATCACTGGAATTATGGCTACAGGACAGAAACTTTATCCTCGAGCCAATCTTAAGAAGATTGTTAAAGCTCATTCCAAGCGTAATCTCACCAAAAATGTTGATGTATTGGTATGTTTTACGACGCGTTCCGGGCTAAAAGGACATTCACTGATACATATATCACAGATCTTCCTCGATTATATGCTATTTCTCGAAACGTATGTCATGATGACCTCCATTTTGCGGAGTCAATTATCCAGTAATATTGTCTAATTGATTCAGGTTAATGAAGGAAGCTGGTATCAATGCGAAGCAGGCTGGAGAGCGTAGCATTAGTGCCAAGAGTATTAAAAAGGTTACTGAAGTAAGTCTCACCCTCTTGCTCCTCATACCCATAATAACCATATCAAACTAGTTATCGCTATCGAAATTCAAGGGATGATGCTCGAGCTTTGATAAGTGGTTGTATACATGATATAGTGAATCCGTTTTCCAATAGGGTATGGACCTCAAGGGCGCTTGAATCCGAAGGAGGAATACAAGATGTACCTGCTCAAAACAGATGCTACGAACAGTGGATCGGACGGCAGATGGCGATGCGAAGAGTACCTAGGTACGATACCATTGGTGGTCGACAAGCATGAGGAGGAAGAAGAAGAAGAAGAAGAAGAAGAAGAAGAAGAAGAAGAAGAAGAAGAAGAAGAAGAAGAAGAAGAAGAAGAAGAATGTATTGGACTGATGCGCGAGGCTGTGAATTTCACGGAGCTCAGGGGACAAGGCGAAGATGACCAGATGCTAGCAACTCTTTTTAGCCATACATTAATTCATTGGGTTTGATTTGATTAAACTACAATAGAATAAGAATTCAATGATATCTGAATACAGCTCAACTTCATTTCCACAGTCCAATACTTTGTGAATTTATTAGATGCGTTGACCTTCTGCTCCTACTTCTTCTGTTGGGGGCAGAATTTATTCCACTTCCTTCTTCCACGTTCGCTAAGGCTGACAAGGTTCCGATCCAAACATCTCTTCCCATCATCTTGGAGCTCACTCAGTTTTGATAATTGATACCAACACTTCCTAAAAAATCCCATCTTACAAAACTTCGTTCTTAAACCTGAGAATATCTTCTTCCTCATCTTCTTGTATTAAATACTTCGTTTTATTCATAAACGACGCATTTTAATCATTCATTCACTTACAAGCAAGCTATCTTTCTCGAGATTTCTGTATCACGGAACCAAACATTACGATCATACAATAAAATAAGTTCACAATGGCTGCTTCCGTAGTTCAAAATCCAGCTTCTAAGCCGGAATCTAAGTCTGCAAAGAAGAAGAAGGCCAAGACTGAAGCTGTCGACGTGCAAAAGCCCGCCGCACAAGCAGATGTTGCTGTTACAGAAAAGGCCCCGTCCACTAATGCTGAAGAGAACAGCAATGGAGATGGAGCATACGAGAGTCCATATATCAAGGAGCTCTACAAGTAAGCTTTTTTCCTAGGCCACCTAAATTCATCCATCATTGGCATTCTTGTCAGTCTTTGGTGGGGTTGACACAGCTAACGACTGGTTTTAGGAGCATCCGTAATGTCAACAAGAAGATCGTAAGCCTACACAATCTGCATTCGATCACCCTTAGACAAACTGCTAATTATATATCTCATAGACCAATGCTTCAAAAGTTGATAATGTTCTCGTCGAAAACCCAGGCAAGAGCTTGGACGAATTGGTAGCTACTCGCAAGATCAATGCCGACCAAAAGGCACAAATTTTGAAGAAGCCATCCCTCCAAGCCTCTCTAGCCCAGCTTGAGGAGCAAATCGCACAATATAAGAAGTTCGACCAAGAATACAAGACAAAGCTTCAGTTGGAGAAGGCTGAATTCGAAAAGACTTTCAATGAGCGTGCCAGCAAAGAGCTCGAGGAGAAAGTCAAGGCTGCTAAGGATTCTGTTGCTAAGGAGAAGGCTGAGGAACAAGAGAGTAACTTGTTGCTTATCACTAAATTTCTCTGTCTCGCCGCCTTGCGCCGAAGCCCAGAAAATGATCCAGAGCTCGATGAGAACAAGGGAATTGAGGGGCTTCTCACTCAAGTTTACAGTGGAGACGAAGCTGCTGTAGCTGCCATGACAAAGATCATCCAAGGATCTAGTGAAGTCTGTTCATCCGTCAACGGCGAAGAACTGACCACAACCTGTAAGTTCACCTGTAGCTACAATTGTTACAATTCACTGATTGGTATATTAGTTGCCGATATTAAGGCCATTGCCCTTGCGCTGCCAACCACATCTGTCGCCGAGCCCACCGAACCTGCAGATGAAGAGACAGCCCAAACCGAAGTCGCCGAATATCCTGTTCAAAGTGATCCAACTATCGCCAACGCCGGCTTGACTGAAATCGATGACCCTGTTACAAGTGCATTGAGCAATGGTCACCAAGCACCAACCTTCGAGGAAGCTCAAGGAATCCCCCAGAATTCAGCTTTTGGCGAAGGAGGAAATGCTGCAGCTGAGGCAAATTGGGATAACAACAACGATTTGTCTACATCGCAAGAATGGGTCGAGGTTCCTCGTGAAGCCACTGAGACAGATCTCGGTGTTAATGCCACTCCTGCTGCCCCTTCTAACACTCAAAGCTGGGCTGATGAGCAACCGGAGAGTCCTGGTTCAGTAAGTTTATCCCTGTTTATACAATAAATGATAGTGCCATACTAATAACTCCTCTTCAGAAGACTCCCACCCCTCCAGTCAGCAACAATGATGGCTTCCATGAAGTCAGCCGCAACCGTGGCCGTGGAGATCATCGAGGTGGTAGAGGTGGCCGAGGTCGTGGAGGCTTCAGAGGCGATGGATATCGAGGACGTGGCCGTGGTGCTCCCCGTGGTGCTCCTCGTGCCCCAAGAGGCGAGTCATCATAGATCCACCTTTCGGAAACAGCTCTATGGCCTCACAAACTGTGAAATCCTAGATGCATTAGCTCACGCAACTTGTAATAACCTCATTCTTTCATTCAACTTGTTTCTCGCGGCATGGCATCACACAAAGGCGAAATGGGTAAAGTTTTTCTTGCATTTAATATTTGCAATTGCGAAAACAGCACAATTAAGCATTTGCATGAATCTGTCATGTTCTTGATATTGGCTGGATATGGCATAGGGGTACAATACGATATGGGAGAGCGTCTCATTTTTATGGCATTACATACACAACACACATTTCCTGTACTTTGGCCAACTTGATTTTCCTTTTTTGCGCACTTTTATGCAGGCTGCTTGTTCATACCCGGGGCACACATTGAAAAGTTCGGTTGGTTTGGTCTTTGGTTCGCTGGTCTTGGTCTTTTAGGACGGTTGGACTGGGCTGGGCTGGATGAACGCAACGGATCGGATCGGATTGGGCTGGCCAAATCGAAACGATACAAAATGGAATGATTGATACCTATGATTTGATGATGGTTGCGTGATTGACGAAAAAAAAAAAGAACCCCCAATACATAATCATGTGAGAGAGTGATGATAGTGATGAGTGATCTTTTGGGTTGTGTATGCAGTGACGAGTATTTCATCCAACGTAAAGTGTTCTTTGACTCTCACTTCATTTCAATAAGAGAACTCACCACCAATCACTTCCCGGCAACCTCACGCGAAGCATTTCAAAATTGAGGTTGGCGGTTAATATTTGCTGCATCTTGCCAATCTCAAAATCAGCATTGTGCTTTGTCTAGACCTTACTGTCTCGAGTTCTACGTCGTAGTTCGGCGAATTTATCACCATTGGCCTGCAGGTAGTCTTGAGGAGATGTGATGTGATATGATATGATATGATGTGATGTTTGCGGATGGAATTGATCGGGTGCTGGATTATTTGTTGGGTATTTGTTTAAGTGTGCGCTGGAAGTTTATGTTTATGTTGGAGTTTTGCGAGATTTGATATAGGAGGTAGAGGCAGGGGGGGGGGGGGGAGCTTGACAAAGGCTTCGGCTGGGAGTTGTTGCTGTTGTTGTGGTTCTTGCTGTAAGGTTTCTGGGTATTTGGATGATGGGATATGAGATATGACCTAGATGGCTCGAGGCGTGGTTTGTTTCAATTTGTTCCGTGATTCATGGGTGGAGTGGATAAATTGAGGGAATTTTTGAGAGCCTGTGAGAAAATCATCGTGCCAAGGTTTTTGCAAAATGTTTTTTTATGGTGTAGGGGTTATGATTTTCTATGTTATGTGGAAGCATATGGTTATATAACAGTATGTAGTTACATATTTTGTATTGGTCCGCAGAGCTTTCCAGGAAGGGTCACAATGGGTTTCCCTCTTGTGTCTGTGCTATGACACAGAGGCTTCAACATAACATCTGCAACGCGCGTCTCCAATATCAGCGGGATCTTATCTTCCTCGCGTTGACCTGCGGTATCACTCAGAGCCGTATATCTATCCTGCGTAGGAGATTGTTATTGAGTGTACGGCGCAGTACTAATAAGATTGTGCTGCCATTCATCTCATTACATCAGCATAGCGATTATTATTGGTAGCTCATCAAACAGATCAGGTCATACCAAAGCAAAAGATATCGCAGCCTTATCTACATTGAAGCTGTGATGTTCGTGAATGTGAAATTTTAATCGATCAATGGACGTGTGAGCTGTTTATAAGGTGTGGGGCTAAGATAAGATTAGCCTAGCATCAGTGATAAAAAGGGTGCGAACACTTGAAAATTTGAACACAATCGTCATACTTTGCAACTGTTGAATGGAACTTGCTTCATGTTGAAGTCGAAGTATTTCTCAAGTCCAATTTTGTGGGAGTCAGTCGTGATGAGTACGAGTCAGTGTCAAGCCATATGTACGCTGCCGAGCGGTTTGATACGTGAGCTCGTCGCCCAATTCTTGTCCACTTTCACATTTTGCACATCTACTTACATCTTCATTACCCTACCTCCACTGATCTCGCTGATCATACAAACAGAATAATCATATCTTCGAGCCAGATCAGGTATTCAGACCCTATCAATGTTCCAAATCAGATTGGATATTCAAGATGACATCGATATCTCGGACGAATATGCCCAGGGCTACATGCCCGTAGATTGTTTGCGAGGTTGGGATTCAAAATTTCCGACAAAACACTTGTTGGACATGTTCGAAGATCATGACTGGGCTGTGGTGATTTGAATCCAATCAGTGAGACACTATGTCTCCCCAGACTCGCCGGGATGTGATGGGGAAAACGGGTAAGATTTGCTTGGGTAGGTTAGGTGGAGATGCAAAGGTGTCACCGCTTTTAGCCACTCGGCCCTACGCCTTATGGAAGCTTAAATTTGACGAAGATGGATTTTGGCTTGATGCAAGTTCGATGACAGAGATTTCACTAGTGCAGGGGTAATTTTCCTATCAGACACTTATCGAGTATCTCAATCATCTCATGCCGAAACCCACGTCATATCAACTTTTCATAATTATACATCGTATATCATAGAATTCAAGTCGATAATTCAATCATGACTTTACAATCTGAGAGATATAAGGGATATCATTCTTTGTCGCACTTGACTTGATTGATATGGACGGACGGTACACAGATGCACAAGTCAAGCTCCGAGACTGTACCGTCCAAGCAATGAGACTAGCAGGTACAGATAAACTTCTCAGCCCTATGTAATATGACGATGAAATCCAAATCTGTATGGATGAGTTGAGATGATGATGATGCTCATCTTACAGGAAGGTGAACTGTGCACTGCATGAGAC